ATAGTGACCAAGGATGAGGAAAAGGCTGAGGTACTTAATGCCGTCTTTGCCTCAGTCTTCAGCAGTAGGACCAGTTGTTCCCTGCATTCCCAGACCCCTGAGCTAGAAGACAGGGATGGGGAGCAGAACGAAGCCCCTGTAATCCAAGGGGAAATGGTGAGGGACCTGCTTCAGCACCTGGAGGTACACAAATCTATGGGACCGGATGGGATCCACCTGAAGGTACTGAGGGAGCTGGCGGAAGTGCTCACCAGGCCACTTTGCATCATTTATGAGCACTCCTGGCTAACCAGGGGGGTCCCAGCTGACTGGAGGTTGGCAAATGTGACACCCATCCACAAGAAGGGCCAGAAGGAGGATCCAGGGAACTACGGGCCGGTCAGTCTGACCTCAGTACCTTGGAAGGTCATGGAACAGATCATCCTCAGTGCCATTACACGGCACATGCAGGAGAACAGGGTGATCAGGCCCAGTCGGAATGGGTTTGTGAAAGGCAGGTCGTGCCTGACCAACCTGATTTCCTTCTATGACAAAGTGACCTGCTTAGTGGATAAAGGAAAAGCTGTGGATGTTATCTACCTGGATTTTAGCAAAGCTTTTGACACCGTTTCCCACACCATTCTTCTGGAGAAACTGGCTGCTCATGGCCTGGACAGGTGTACTCTTCGCTGGGTAAAAAACTGGCTGGATGGCTGTGTCCAGAGAGTGGTGGCAAATGGAGTTAAATCCAGTTGGTGTCCGGTCACAAGCATCCCAGGGCTCAGTGCTGCAGACAGTTCTCTTTAATACCTTTGTCAGTGATCTGGATGAGGGGATCGAATGCACCCTCAGTAAGTTCACAGATGACACTAAGCTAGGTGGGCATGTTGATCTGCTGGAGGGTAGGATGGCACTGCAGAGGGATCTGGACAGGTTGGATCAATGGGCTGAGGCCAATCGTATGAGGTTCAACAAGGTCAAGTGCCGGGTCCTGCACTTGGTATCACAACAATCCCATGCAATGCTACAGGCTTGGGGCAGAGTGGCTCGAAAGCTGCTCAGCAGAAAAGGACCTGGGGGTGTTGGTGGACAGACAGATGGATATGCACCAGCAGTGTGCCCAGGTGGGCAAGGCGGCCAACGGCATCCTGGCCTGTATCAGGAATAGTGTGGCCAGCAGGACTGGGGCAGTGATTGTCCCCCTGTACTTGGCACTGGTGAGGCCCCACCTCGAGTACTGTGTTCAGTTTTGTGCCCCTCACTACAAGAAAGACATTGAGGTGTTGGAGCATGTCCAGAGAAGGGCAATGAAGCCGGTGAGGGGTCTGGAGGACAAGTCTTCTGAGGAGCAGCTGAGGGAACTGGGGTTGTTCAGCCTGGAGAAGAGGAGGGGGAGACCTTATCACTCTCTACAACTGCCGGAAAGGAGGTAGTAGAGAGGTGGGGGCTGACCTCTTTTCCCTGGTGACAAGTGATAGGACAAGAGGAAATGGGTTCAAGTTATGTCAGGGGAGGTTTAGACTGGATATTAGGAAACATTTTTTCACTGAAAGGGTTATAAAACATTGGAATAGGCTGCCCAGGGAGGGGGTGGATTCGCCATCCCTGGAGGTGTTTAAAAAAAGGGTAGATGTGGTACTTGGGGACATGGTTTAGAAGTGGTTTTGTCAGGGTAGGTTAATGGTTGGACTTGATGATCTTAAAGGTCCTTTCCAACCTCAGCAATTCTGTGATTCTATAAACAGAAAAAAAAAAAAATGTGTATGTATGTTTGTATACATATGAGTAATGGAGTAAGGCATGATAAACAACCCTCAATCTAAGACCATGCTCATGAGAGAAATTGAGCTGATCCCAGTAGGTGACTATATAGAGACCATAAACCTAACTTAGACATACCTATTATTGATGGCTGATGGACAAATTCAAATTGGAAATATGGGTTAAGCAGCAGGGGGAACATAGTCACTGAAGCAGCTTCTTAGATTGTGGTTCAACTTCTGCCAACTTCTGTGTTCAACTTCTATCAATTTCAATCTTGAGGTAGCTTTAACTTCTGTGAAACCCTTCATGCCATCTTGCTGCTCTTGAAGTCACCATTTAAATCCAAAGCTGCTTGATTTCTAGAAAACATGGTACAGCTGAGAAAGGGTGTTAAAATCTCGTAAAATACTATAACACAAGTATTGGTGGTTCCTTGTGGTGTTCAAATCTATGACTGCATGAAAGTCTGGAAGGACAGTACAGGGTCCCAAGAACACCTGAAGAAAGAATGTGTTCATGGAGAGATGGGAATCAGATGTTCAGAGTAAGGATCTTCATCTTTCTGACTCCAAAATAACATGTGGTGAGCAACAATATGTGGTAGAGGCAATGAACAGGGATCAGTAAGAGGCATTGTAATGAAGAACTGTCTTTTTTCCATTGAATTTTACCAAAGGCTCAGAACATCAACATGGAAAACAGCGTTGATGTGAAGATAGAAACCAAGGGGGAAAGAAAGCCAATGAAGCAGAATCCGCTGAGCAAAGCTGGGAAGAGAGTCTGCAGAGCTGTTGGGTACATCACCGGAGACATGAAGGAATTTGGAGCCTGGCTAAAAGGTAAAGCTACCTCATCATGACTAATTTATGTAATTCCTCTTTGGAAACCCCTAATGAAGTAACAACTAACTTCTCAGTAATGTGATTCAAGTTAAGTATTACAGAAAATATTTCTGCCCTGATTTATTTCCATTTT